TAGGAGCTGAGAGGGGGCTCGGGGGGAAGGGCAAGACTTCCTTTGGCTAGCACTCAATAATTTAGACATAGCTGAAACTTTGAGGATAGGTCGTATCTCAGAATATTGTGGTAGCCCTAGAGAACTTCTATTCATAATATATATATTTGTTATTCCTCAAAGAAAATTCTGCTTTAGGAACACACAAAAAACGTCTGACTGTTGTGACTGCAGTATTAGGCTTCCCAGCAAAGTCCTTATCATTACAAATTTGAATGATTTTTAAAAGTCTTAAATGTTTAAATATGTATTTTAGGATGTAATAGCAAAATTCTTATTTACTTAAAAAATATTCATACCAAAATCCCCATATAAGAGTTAGGCACTTCTAAATACATGATTATATGAGCATGGAATTTTCTATTTACTGTCTTCTGTATATGTAAATAGAATATTTGGCAATTAGTTAATAACACACATTTAGGTTAATTTAAGAGAGCCAGTATAAAGAGTATCCTAACGATAATGTATTTTACATTTGAAAATAACATAAGATATCTATTTTTTTACCCATTTTAATGACAACATAGGTAATGACTCCTTAGTTGTATGTTCCATGGCTGCTATGAAAGACCCCCATATTCAGACATCTTTCAGAAATGAGCTTTTGAATAAAGGTTGGAAAAGTACTTCTCATTTAGACCACTGGAATAAAATATATCACATTATTGTCCAGACATGTACTTAAATGAAATATATTTGCTTGAAAGGCGGCAAACAAAAAGCCTCTCTCAGCACGTAACATTTTCCACTTCAGTTTGTAGAAAAAAGGACCATGTTAAAATAATTTGAGACATGGTATAGGCTGGTCAGCCTTGGTAATCCAGAGGGGAGGGTGCCCAGCGCATCAGTACATTTCACATGTTGGTTTTCGGGAGATGGCTGCAATCAGTCATCTCGCATATGGTTTGAAAAAGGCTTGTCTCGCTGGCAAGCAAACTGTTATTTAAGTACACAATCCACTCTACTACTGAAACAGTTTTGCCAAACTTATCCAAGTATTCTCACATGCTTAAAGATGGTATAAATATCATTTATTGCTAGCAGTTTTCTTCAGACTATATGGAATGTCTTCCTGCTGCCTGATCTAAGTGTCCCAGTTTACATTATGGCCTTTACTGCCTCTGTTTGATGGAGTGATCAGTAAAAATTTAATGACACTATAAAATAATAAAAATGTCATTAATTTACCACGGATCTTGGATGCAGTGGTTGTAAAGTTACATTAATAAACAGAATATTTTTTACAACAAAAAGCATTGTTACGTGGGAACGTATAAATAACACACATAAATTTAAGAGCAATTTTACTGTTAGCACACACATTATTATGGAATAGCCAATAAGTGTATAAAACATAGTATATAAAATTTTATTAAAATATACTGTGCCCATCAAAAATTCAGCTTTTATCTAAGTGCAAAGAAAAGCCATTATTGTGTGCTTACTGTTTCATTGCTGTTCTTTCCCCAGATCACAATTTTACATTTGTTGCCAGTAAGAGGAAGTTGATTTTTCTTCCCAGATGAAAACTAACCTCTGTTCTTTTAGTTAACCCATATCCATTCTCTGTCTCCACCCATGCAGAGACAAAATTGATCAATCTTGCCATGGTGGGGAAGGAAAAGTTGCTAATTTAATGCAAAGTTAAAAATAATGTCTGAAGAGTTGACTGGTTTGTTCAGTGGCTCTGGAAATAAGGGATAATAATGCTGCAGTCTATCTGTCATCACTGAGACTGCCCCGTCATTGACTCTGATAATATGTGAAGATGATGGATGCTACCGTCTTGTGGCTTGTAACATTTAACATTCATCAGCTCTCACTAAAGGGGGCTTTATCATTTAAATATCTTTATTTAATATGCAACATCTACCTCATACATCATAATTTCAAAGCACTTAGAGAGCCAACAGTCCTACCACACAGCAGAGCTGACTTTAATTTTTTTCAATAACTTTTATGTGCCTGCATGTTTGTGACTGACAATGCATCAGTAAGAGATCACATTGCTACACGTAAAATGCACATTTCACTGTTAACACGAAGACTGGAGAAATTTCCGGGGGTTGGGGGGGGGTGGGATTAAATTAGCACTGAGGTATTTTACTTGTATCTCCAACATATCTACGTTGGGAGCTATGTAAGCGTGCGGGGGAAATTTGGACTTAAGAACTGCCACTTCTAAGATGACTGTTGTGGAATAAAAATACACATATATTTTAAAAAGAAAAAGAAGAACTTGCCACCCACCCACAGCCTGCATTTGTTCCATATAGGGGCATACCCATTGGCACTGAATGGCTAGAAGTTTAAGCTTCTTGGAACTAAAATATCTTTGTGCTTCTCGCTGTGCCCTCGTCCACATCCTGTATTTACTAGGCTCATGTTCAACCTCACTGGTAAAATCTTTGCTTAGCTCAGCTGCCCAGACGTAACTTGTAGACATCAGGCCCTCTTATCTTATGGTTATGTGGCTGGCAAATAAATATTCTGAGCTATTCTTTGAAGAAAAAAAGGAAATCTTCTGGGACAGTAGGTGGAAATTTATATGAAAGGGCATGGCTTTGCAGGGTCCCTCTTTAATCTCAAACACAAGTGCTTAATATTACCAAATTTAAAATGCAGCCCACAGCCCAAAACAATTTTTATCATTGATTTATTTTCTTCCTATTTAACAAGTGTTTCATGGGATATTCTTCCTTGACTTCTACTCTGTCAAAATATTGATATTTTATAGAAAAAGTATCTCTGCTGAGGAGTTTTTTTTTTTTTCAATGAAGTCAGAAAAATGTATGACTTCAAAGACACTGCGAATGTGTTGTTGAATGTTCTGAATGTTTTTTGTTATGATTAAAAACAAGCTGATACTACTGAATTGTGAGTGCTCTTCATTTTTTTATAAAAGAAAAGATATTATCATCATGTAAGCTTTGTTGTCTTAGGATTTTACAAACCATGGCATGTAATTTTCCCTCTTCTCCTTCCTTGTCAAAATATTGATATTCTTTCAGGAACTTTATTTTTTTTTACTGAGAGTATTTTCCGGTAAAATCAAAGAGAATGAATGACTAGAAAGATACTTGAAATATGCATATTGATAGGTAGCACGGTCTGTTGATTTTCAGAGAAAGTTGTTTTTCCCCCTATGAAAATACAGTTAAAGGTTGTTCTTCCAAGAAGATTGCAGGTGTCACATCAAAACTCCTTTTGCATTTAACATAGGGAAAGCATTCACATGCAAATATTTGAAATGCGAAACAATGTGATAAAACAAAGGTTGAATATTTTCCTTTCCCAGTCCTACTCATCTTCACTTTAATTCTTTTTCTTTACATCATGACAACCAAAAGTGCTACTCAGAAATAGAAATTGACTGATTAAAAGCAGCTGTCCTTTCCCCCGACAATGTGTGAAACTCCCTCATGGCCTGTGGTTGCTTTTTGTTATGTCCTGCATCTGGGTTAATTTGCTCTTGTGAAGCAGTATTTTCATATAAGAAGATATTAGGGAACCATACTTAATTTGGTTTATATTTTCATTCTCTTTTTTTTTTTTTAAGTGTCATACTTCAGAGGTTTCTTCATATACTGTTATTGGGACTAGTTAGTATTACCCTGTTAGGGAAATTCATGATTATCTTTTTTTTTTTTTTCCAAATCTTTTGTAGAAATGTTGTAGATTAAAGCTAGGTTTATGCTGTGTTCTCTTGCAACACAGATTTCGACATATTCCATGATGAAGGGGAACTGGAAGACTTCCTGCACAATTTGACTGATGGGAATTAATTATAGAAATATAATGATATTCAAAAATAATCATATTAGAAAGCACAAATGTAGTGAGACTGTTCAAATGAGGCAGAGCCTCTATCAAGTAATTGTATGTTTGCTCTTTAAGAATATTTCCAAGTTTCTAAACATCTTACAGAAGAGAACACTCAGAGTGTTTCCATCTAATGCTGAACATGCTCAGTACAGAACTAGGTCATTGAACAATAGACTGAACAGCAATCAGCACTCTACTGCTGCATAATGCATTAAGTATAACATGCAGAAACCATTCCCGGAGCTGGAAGCTGCTATTTCATGTCTGTAAATTCAAGCTGACATGACATTTAATATTGTTTCATAGTAATGAACAACAAGGTTTCATTCATTCATAAGCACGACACAAAGCCAACTTTGAGTCTGGAGAGTAGCAAGGAGGCAAGAGGGGGACATGTGCTGTGTTTCTGCAGACGAGAACACCAGATTAATGATGGTCAATGAGCCCTCGGCTACTGATCCAGAGAGCTGCAGAGAGAACATTCGCTGTCATGCTTCAGACTCCTGCTCTTAGAAGAACTAGCGAACAAGCAAAATATCTCTGGGTTTTCTTCCTAAAACAGCAGGGGGATTTAACTCTCCTGGATTGATAGCTGGCTGGGAGTGATGTCCTCCTTTGCAGTTCCCAGGAAGTCACAGTTGAAACTCTGAGTCAGAATAATAATATCCATGCCATCATCTGGCCAGCCGGCTTTGAAATGTGTGTTTTTTAAATCCTTGTGCATAAAATTGCAATTTCTATTTCTATAGGAATACCGATGCAAAATATGATCTCTAAGTGGGAAAATTGCTCTCCCATTAAATTTAGCAGTGTACCCTAATAGGAACTGCTCTTTCAAGGTTTTGTGTTTTAGTCAACCCTCTCTTGCATTCCTTTTAGATGACTGGAGCAGACCCAACAGGGAGAAGATGTGCAGAACAGCTCTGGCAGGTTCCCTGTCACAGGTGTTCTTTCTTTACAGGTACCATGGTCTAGATGCTGTCAGTGTTGTTAGTGCCACACACAGGCTTTCATCGATTCTTCCTCAAAGATTTTCAGAGCCCAAAGTGGTCACAAGTGATGTTTGTAAATCAGGAAGGGAAACATGGCTGCAGTAGAAGGTAGAATAAGCCTTTGATTATTCTTTCCTCTAGGAAAGAACACGCTTTGAGAATTTGGGGCCCCAATTAACAGGCAAGTCAACTGAAGATGGAAAGCTGGGCCCAGGTGTCATCGATCTTACTCGGCCAGAAGACGCAGAGGGTGAGTGGTTTTTCCCAGCTCTTTTCTCCTTCTCGTGTGTTTCCAGAGGTACGTCTGAGTTTCATGGAGAATGTTGCTGGTCTTTCTAGAAGTCACCAGCCAGATTTTCTAGGCAAAGCAGAAGGAATATTAGTCTTCCTTATACATTACAGTAGAGGACCTTGAGGGGCAGCTAGATCCTATATTACATTGCAATCCAAGTACATAGAAATCCAGTGGTGTCCAGTGGTTTAAGACACCATTTTAAAGTTTTAAAATAAAAGGATCCTTTGCATTCCAATGAACAACAGAATCCTGTTTCATCTGTTTCACTATATGCTTGTTCAAAAGAAAAGAAAAACGTACAAAGGAGGATGGTTTTGCTTAAATTTATTTTTTATTTTTAATTGACAAATAATTGTATATGTTTATGGGGTAAAAAGCGATTTGATTTGATACATGTATACTTGCAGAATGATCAAATCAGAGTAATTAGCAGCTCCAAATCAAGTGATTCTCAGGTGCAATCAAACTATTTTAGGGACTGAATGATGGTTTGCAGCAGATTTAGCATAAACTTAATAATTGCTTGGGGGAAAGCCCAGCCTGCACACTAACCAATACTAAAATCTTTTGAAAGTCTGAGTGGAAAGACCAGCCTTACTCTCCACATGTTTACCCACACCACTAGCAATGCCCATTTACTTCTCTTCCCTTTTTGCTTGTTTGTTTTAAATGCACAAGCAGCACATCAGCAGAAATTGCTCCCCAGAGTCTGGGTACAATTTATGAGTTAGGTCAGCACTTTGGTAGTAATGTTGCCTCGTTATTTACTGTGTCATCACAGACTAGGGACTGGTTTTCCCGTTAGCTGTTCCTTTGGCAGAATCTGTCTTACCAGTCAGGGAAGATTAATTTGTTCTCTTCAGAGTAACATAATACTTCACCCATCTTGGGGCTCAGCTAAAGTCTTTCTTTGGCTTAAGGGGAAGAACCTTGCAAGTATCCCTTTTACTGACAGGATTTCTTCCAAGACCCTAATCCCTTGAAAACACATGGAGACACTTCACAGAAGCCTCTGAACTAGACCTGGCTTCCAGTGATATCTTTGGGCCATCCCAGGCAGTCCAGAAACCCCTGGAATGAGCACTAAGAGATGGGTAATGTCAGCTATTAGGAAGTACTTGGGAAAGTTTCCAGAAGGCAGTGTTTCATGCCATTAAGAAAGACTAATGTTTGATGGTGGTAGTGGAGACAAGGTGTTAAAGTAAATTCTGATTGGTATGTGCATGTGTGTGGGAAGGTGGAGAGGCAAGGAGGGAGGGGAAGGGAAGGGAAAGGAAGGGAGGGCAGGAGGATGAGGAAGAGAAATGGGGGATGAGTAGGAATAAAGAGGATTCAAAACCAGGAATATATATGCTGTCTTGGAGAATGTGTACTAAGAGCACATCCACACTTTCAGAGGGACTCAGAAATGCAGGCTTTCAACAGGTAAGAATTGGGCGTCCTCTGCATAGGGAGCCAGAGAATCCAAGTGATGCAACTTGCACAGTGAACTGTCTGACTGCAACACAGAGAATGTGGCTGGCCTGAAAGTCTGTGTGGTCTGGCTTGTTTTGGCTTTGTTGGACATTTGTATGATAGAATACTTAAGTCTTGGACCATATGTAATGAAACAAATATTTTTCATTACTTTGGAATATTTGGCCACAGACTAAGAGTTAGCAGAGCTCTATCACCTTACCTTTGCTCTCATAGACTCATAGACTTTTCTTAATTTGGTATGTGCTCTTTTTCACTTGCTTCCTTAACTGCATGTTAGGTGTAAATATAGTCATTTGCCTCTCAGTAATACTGTGATCTATAATAGTTAATGATATTACCTGCTTGGGAAGTTAAAAATCATGGTCAAAGTTATTAACCACTATTAAAGGAAAAATTTAAAAACATAGCATTAGAGAGACATTGTACAGAAATATCTTTGGAAATTCCATTCAGTACTTCAAGATTCAAGCCAATTGTCCTGGTTACTTTGGTTTTTTTTTTCATTTTTCTTTTAAATCAATCATTTTCAAGCATTGATATGCCAGACATTGTGTTAAGCTTTTTATACACATTTTCTCATTTAATCTTTATATATATTGCAAAGAAGATATTGTTTTTTTTCTAACTTGCAAGTGAGAAAATTGAGATAGAATAATTAAGTAACTTGCTGTGAGTGGCAGAGTTAGAAGGACAGAGCTGAGACTTGATCCCAAGTAGCCTGCTGTACTGCACCCCCTGTACATGCAGATAAACCCGTGGCCCCTTCATTTTTCTGAACAAACTCCTTGTGACCTTCTTCAAAATGGCCCATTTCCTTTCCCCTAAATATAGCAAGTCACGCCATATACCAGCTCTCATGTTACTGTGTCACACATAGCAGCAATGCCTGATGAGTGTAATAGTAGAAGGGCTGTAGTGGCCCAGGAGCTTAAGGAGTGTGTGAAAACCTCCCTTCAGAAGTTTGCCCGGAGTTGCCATTGAGACCTCATGTGCTTTTAAGGGGACTGTGAGTTCATGAATGGAGTCAGGTTACCTGTTCTAATACTGCCAGAAGTGCATTGCCTTTGTGAGGACTGGTAGGAGGGGTGGCAGCCTTCTGCTGACTTCAGTGTATTTCCTGGCTTCAGTTCAAGTGTGAGCTGATTGCCGAGGCTGCTGGACTTGTAGTTCATATTATAGTCCAAGTAGATAAGAAGTACACGTCATACTTTCTCTACTTTGCTCCTTCATATTTCCCTTAACAGGACCATTAAGAAGTGTATCAGAATAACTGGGAAATATATATATATATATTTGCTTCTTCACTTAGTTTGTGGTCCCCCAAAGCAACCAACATTTCTTGAGTGCCTGAGTGTGCCAGTCCCTAAATAAACTGTGGGAAGCAAAACAGAGATGTCCCTGACCTCTTCAAGCTTATGGTCTATTGAGGGAAGACAGAAGATTAAAAAAGAAATGTATACATACATACATAATTATCCTGGAGAAAAGTGCTAATTGGATCAGTACTTCGTTACACTCTACAGAGAACTCAGAGTGAGAGCTGCGCAGGGAAGCTGAGTTGCTGGGTGAGTTTTGTGCCTCTAGTCCAGGATGTCTCCTCCCTCAGCCCCTGTACTTAGTATCTTCACCTGCAGGTTTCCTCTGGCTTTGGAGCAGCAGTTTTAGAAGCCTATGCCTTCCCTCCACTTCTACTCCATCCTCTTATGGGGCTTCTGAAATGAGTAAGTCAGTCACCCCAAAAGACAAGGCCCTGTTCCAGCCAGGCCTCCCAGGAAAACGTCTTCTGGCCGTGAAAATGACAGTATCACTTAGTAAGCAACTTATAGACCTGCTTCCTAGCCCTGAGCCTGGAGGCGGTGAGGAAAAGGTCACCCAAAGAGGCAGCTGTGCATGTGTATTAACCACTCATCAAAATCAAATGACAAAACCATAGGCAAGGAAAACAGAAATTAAAAATATAAAAGGCAAATGCCTTCAAAATTTTATTTTTAAAGTCCAGCTGTTATTTGGCTTGAATGTGACAAGACAGCATTTCTTGTTCACCATGATATTTATAAAACTACAAATTCATTGGTGCTGGGGAGTTAGGAAACATGTTTCAGGTTTTGTCATACTTTGAAGCAGTTGAAGTCTTAACACGTACTGAGTCTACCAAATTTGCTAGCTGCTAGGTAGGACATGTAAGGGAGAGAGGACTTGATTAGTTGAGTCTGTCACCATGTAATTTAGAATGGTGAACAGCTGTTGAACTTTTTATGGACTTTTCATCTGGCATTTCCCCTCTTCTTGTTCTGCTTAGGCAAGAGCATATTTCTTATCCCAACTCTCCTAATTTCAAGGTTGTGTAGTGTAGTAGAGAAGACTCTGGCCTGGTTATTGGGAGATTTGGAGTCGAGGTTCCTGTCCTTAATGAATGAAAACAAATGCCTCTGGGATTAAGTTACTTTATCTCTTAAAAGAGGTATGTTGGATTTGGTTATCTCTAAGGTTCCTTGCAAATCCGTGATTATTATTAAGATCTTCATACAACACTTAGTGGTGATCTATCCACAAGAGATTCCACTTAGTATTTGTGGAGAAATAAAAGAGGAGAGAAATTCTTTAGAAAATGTATTTGCTTGCTGCTTACTGAATCAAGTTTTAATGTTCCCTAAGTTTTCCTTTTTACTAATGAGACAAACTTCCCAGTGGTATTTCCTGGTTACTTTGTGCAGCCAGGCTGCCTCTTCTTTCTCTCTGCCGTCCTCCTGTCCCTCAAGCAACAATAGTCATGACATGACTTATAAAAATATATTCTTTCTAATTTGTTTCTTTTCTCTATTATATCTGGAGTTTCTAAGGGTGTATTTTTTGTTCTGTTTTGCAGTATGGTTTGGATAAGAAAAGATTCTTCTAAAACCTTTTTAAATGTTCACATTCACTTATTGGGTCCCAGCCTCAGAGGGAGGCTATACCTCATTTTAATTTTGGGAATAGTGAAATACCATTTAGGGAGGAGCTCTGAAAGTAATTATTTTTGGACTGTTGGACCCTGGATTAGAACTGGAATGATGTGCTGTCCTTTATCTATTAAAAACTTGCATTGATTTGAATGGAAATAGATAGCACACTAAGAATATCCCCTTTTAGAACTGTTGCTCTTAGATTTTTTAGAATTGATTTATACAGAATTTGTGAATTGGATCCCAGCCAAGATGGCTTTACGCTGCTAAAGGCATTTTTTATTTTTCAGTGAACCTTCAATTGCTTCTAAGTTTGCTAATGGACAGATAGCGGAGACTATAATGGTTCTTTTTTTTTTCCTTTAAAATGTCCTTTCTTTAAAATCCTGCTTATTCTTTGATCCATACTCTTGGAAATATCTGAAGCTTTTTTCATTTCCCTTCCCCTCCTTGGATCCTTATTTTTGGTGAAAAAGGAAGATTCACTCTGGGATACAGGACTCATTCAAGGAAGCGGAGGCAAACTGTAGCCTA